TTGTGGGTCCACGTCGTCTACAGGGTCGAACCCAATATCCTGTGAAGTGGCGGGGTACCCGGACTCCGTCAACTCACGGGAGTTTGAGGTGCCATTTCGGAAAGACTGTCTAGCCATCGTGGATGCTTATGTCAGAAAGATCATGACGCTTTGCGTCGTCGCACAGCCCGCGCTTCCCAGCAGTAGCCTGGGAAGCTGGAGGGCCATGAGCTAAGCCCAAGCTATGGCCCTGAACTGCTGTGGTCGTTGACTCACCCTTGTGAGAAACCACAGAGCTCACAGAGCGAGATGGATGATTCCATGTGTCGCAGGGCGACAATACGCAGGAAAAAGACGTTGCGCTTCGAGTTTGGCAAACTCAAATCGAAGATGGCGCTCCACGCGCACGTCTACTTTCTTGTGGCTTTGCTGTAAGGTAATCAGCGAGGAAAGCTTACGGTGCCGCTGCACCTATCGTTCAAAGAGCTCCTCTTCATCTGCAGCGGTTTTACCAGGGGCGAGCACAACAGGAATACCCGCATTGCGTGTACAGGAGCGCCTCCTCTTTGAGGTCGAGGTCGAGCGCAAAACCTACCAATCGGGATTTATTGGGACACCAAGAAGCGAGCTCGGAGAGCTTTCCGCAGAACAAGCTTATGGCCGGGGCTTAACTACGTAGACGCCTAACGATCGGTTGATTGCGTCTTTCGCTTCATTAGCGGGATCTGCCGAGCAGAAGCCGTGTTCCTCAGAACCGAACGTGGATACGAGCGCATGAGAGCCGCCCTGTGGACAGCCTCCAAGTGTTGCTCCTGTGCTTCATAGGGGCGATTGGCATCAAAACTGCTTCCCCCGAAAGTCGAGTGATCGGGGAACGGTCACGGTGTCCACAAGGTTCGAGCCGGGCTCACGTCGCGCCGTTGGCGCAGCTCACCCTTTACTTCTTCCTAGCCTGGGAAAGGAGTATTTGACTCGTAGTCGACTTCCTCCGAATCCTTGACGAGGAATCCGTCGCCCGGACGGAAGCGATGTGTGGCACTCAGTTGCCGAGGGCTTGAGATCTGCTTCCCGTTAAGCCACGGACGTATGTCCGGAGATGCACCCCGTGCAGAAGGAAAAGGGCTTTGCTCGCTGGCGTCTTCGGGAACAGCTTGGCTGGGTGATTCTTATGTCATAGAAACAGGGCTAATTGAGCAGAGAAAGTTATAAGATGTCTTTAAGAACGTAACGGTGTCTCAGACACGCGAGCCTCGTATGAGGCGACAGTTCAAAGAGAATTATGGGTATTCACAATTTTGATGGGGGAGAGTAACGGGGTTACACGTACCCTTGGGCGGGTCACACAAAATGCTGTGACCGTACATATGTGTGTATTATACAAGTTGGTGTAATTACACAATGGTGTGGCTTCACCGTAAAAGAAGCCACAACGTGGCAGGACTACCAGTAGTAATACACACTAATTACGTTTTACTATATTGATTAGGAGTTACTATATTAATTAGGAGATACTATATTAATTAGAAAACCTTATATATTGGATATTGGCGGCTCTGCCGCAACTGAAACAATTAAATACAGTTTCAATTCTGAACGGAAGAGCGTCTTTGCCATGATTAAGGTTTCTCAGTAATCCTGGAGGCAGCGGATTGCGATCCGCTGCGGTCGTACTAGTTCTCGTATAGAACGAAGAGTCGCTGACCTTAGCTTAGCTTTTTCTAAGCAAAGAGCTATGGCAGCTCCGCTGCACTGAGTGAAAATAAGTGAAATGATAATTTTCGTGGGCGTGCTTTAGACGAAGCGGCAGCCCTTTTTTGCGAGCGGTATCCCCGCTAGGAGGTCGTGCGCGCAAATGGGCACTTCTGTGTGGTATTTCTGTAAAAGAGGCATTCCCGATTCGAAAAAATTGAAGCGACAGATAATACGAGGGTTCGCACCTGTGCGCTCAAAAAATGTCAGGTTGTCAAAAACAGGCGAAACCTAGCGGATTATACCCAAGAGTTGAGAACACTCACTCACCGTCGCGATGGCGAGAGGTTATCTCATGGAGGCGGTTGTCGTCCTCATCTTTATATTAGGTCTCCGAACAGGTGAGGCCAAACTTATAAATTTCTTGTCCACTATTTAGGATTGCGGTGGGTGTTGCGCGAAATTAGAAGTGTCATTCTCGTGCCGTGAGAGCCTGTGCGATGGACCTCGGATATGCTGAGACCTTCGAGAACTATCTTCTGGCCAAGCGCAGCGGTAGCTACAAATTTAAAATATGTGGCAACATTTGATATCTTTACCGAGGATGCCCTTCTTCTCGCGGATGAGTGTATGAAGGTCGGTCTTTCTCTTCGGATCGTCCGACGAGCTTGCGCGGGCAAATGTCATGTGCCAGTTGTCACTGGCTGGCTAAATGAGAAGAAATGGGACATTCTTTTACATCGGGGATGTCGATGACAATAATATCTAATGTTGGAGTATGTGGCTCTTCTGCGAGAGATTAGGGATCCCATCCTAGGCTTGCTGATTGTTAACTTTATTTCCCGGAGCATTATTAAGCTGTGGATGCTCTGAATAATTTAAGAACGTCCTGCAATTACGTACGATGCGCGACAGTCAAAATCAAAGGCAAAACGCGGATGCACCAAAGATGCCAATTAGAAATTTGATTTCCATGCGCCGTGCAACAGGGGCACAAACGTAAACAGCGTGGACCGTTGTTTTGTCCTAGAAATGGAATCAGGATACAATCTCATCCGAGGCAAGGTATGGCTGAAATGCCATGAGCCATTGATTGACAGAAAGCTGAAGATATTAAGTTCCATAAATTCTCTCCAAGTGAAGGTTTGGTAAGGTCGGAACCGGCGCGTTTTTTGCGAGGGTACGAATCTTCGATAGTGTTGGTGCAGGACCTGAAGATGTCTGATTGGTAAACAGAGTTTCGCTCAGAACCCAAAGCAGTGCACGAAAGGCTGAGGCGGCAATGATCCGTTGTAATAGGATGAGACAGAGATGATTAATTTTGATACAGCGGCTCCCGGAGTGTATTCGTGCTAAAACAAGAATAAACGACACTGTGGTTTGGCTCTCATAGAAGTTATCTGGTAAACGCTGAATTTTAGCTGAAAGTAGGTGTCTCTAGTGCTAGAGCCATTGGAAAGTAGAAGCGACCGGTGTGGAAGTCTCTGATGCCAAATCCAGCGCATCAAATAGCAGCTGGGCGTCTAAGCTTCCTTAAAGACAGACGGCTTAATGTCGCAAGTAAAAGATTAGACTTTGAGGGTATCAATGATGGCTCGTTTTTTGTCACGATGTAACAATATATCTACGTCAGATCTTTCGTGTGACTCACAATGTATGGAAAAGCGAAGCTGCACAAATTTGTAGCGAAAAAGCTTTCTCACTCGTGAATGAAGTGTCCGTATTTGTAAGCCCCCTAATGACCTCGAAAGCAGCAATCAAGAAGCTCGAAGAGCTATAATTGGGAGATGTGTGCAAAGAATCGCGAGCTGACAAAGTCAACAAATCCCTGCAAACGAGTCCATTACAAGGACACTTCTGCGAAAGGTGGAACGGCAATCATGAATTTTTTCACTCTACGGCTCCATTTAATCCTTTGCGGGGGATATCACGACATGGTTACAAGACACATACCTTGCGTGTTGCCCTGATTTGTGTTTCCGTCTTGAAACTGACTGTGTCACTCGATAATGGTCGATTTAAATGGGATAGTGCAATGCCGTAGATGCTTTCTTCGTGTAGAGTACGAACTTGATTTGGGGTCGGTGCCAGCTTTCTGTACCATAAACGCTAACGGCAAGTGATGTATACAGTAAACGCAATGCAGCCACAACTCCGACGTAGATGAAAATTATCGAAAAGACTTTCTACAGAACAGCATGGTCAATTGCACCGTGCTCAATGCTCTTGACCTATTGTAAATACCTATTGTAAATACCTATTGTAAATACCCATCAGAGACCTTGACATTCCTTTAACTATCGTGCACTCCAGGAGGAATGGTTTGTGAGTTATTGAAATGTCACATGAATTACTAATGCGCCAGCGACAGTCAGTAGTATGATAATGTGAATATCCAGGCTACATCGCGCCTATACAGTATAATCTAATCGTCCAAAGTTAGAGCCGTGTAGAGAACAAAGAAATGATGAGGAAGTCAGCAATATAGGCTTGTTAGCGGGCTTGATTGTATTTGTTGATTTAATCAATATGCCAATAAAGACAAGTGAGTCTTTCGTACCACCAAAGACCTCGTTCTGGGATACTTTACTGGTAAATGGAGCCTGCTCGCAGGTTCCAAAGATGATTGGCGAGTGGCTTGGTCCCAAAAGCGACTGCTAAAATGGTTTGACCTGGCCAACTACATGCACAACTATGGTACAAATTATGCCTATAAGGCATGGCCCCTTTTCAATCTCCCTACAAGGATGTCAAATGGGGTTGGGTGGGATTAAAGAGGTAATCCTCCACGAATTAAGCTCTCATACACCTCCGAAATTTGGCTCAACTAAACCCGGAACGGCAAAAATATGTGCTTTAGCTCTCGCCTTAGGCTGTTTCGTTTTAACTTTGACACGTAGTGGACAGCTGCACCAGCGAACCCTTGAAAACGAGAAGGATCTCCAGCATGTGGTGACAAGCGTCGAGGTCCACGTCCACGTCGTGATTTGTACCTCACAGAGTCGTACATTTTATATGCTTCAGTTTGACGTCAGATTCACTGAAGTTGGCTTGAGGAACTATAAATGATTAAGGCGATGTGCGCAAACTTAGAATGATATTCTCCGGCACTTTCGCCGACTATTAGTACCACAGGTACGCCCCTTATTTAGATTACGTAGTTAACCAATTACTACTGAATTCAGCTCAGGCTACAAAAGATTACTGTGCACTGTGCGCACAGAAGCCTTGATGGTATGAAGCCGCGCTAACAAACCCAACGAGAACGCGCTAGCATGCTACACCCTGGAGAGAAACCGTAAGCTAATTAAGTAAGCAGATCCCTAGTTTACTCTTTATTTTTCAAGCGACATGTACCGATATTAATGCTGAATATTAACAAAACAACTCATGTATTGATATATAAGCTGAATATTAACAAAAAATCAGCTTAAATATCAATACTTGTCGCCTTAAAAATAAAGAGTAAACCAACCTAAATGTAAATGTTACGCTGTGTTAGAATTTATAACTTCATGCACTGCCAGAGCTAGATTTGAAGCCCACGGACGTCTTCTGTACGTGTGTTCATCACCATAATCAGTATTAGTACTTCGGTACCGATGAGCGGATGAGCTGATGAGTTAAGTCCGAGGTACAATAGTGTAAACTCGACAAACTCCATAATACCGTACGTAATTCATTGAACCCTTCCACAAAAAGATGTGAACAATCTAGGCTCACAATCATTTTGCCTGCTTCTAAAATTTGCGCCAAAGTGATGGCTCTAGGGGCGCCAAGTGCACCTGAGCTCACTCTCTTTACCGAGGAGTGCACAGCAGATGCGAATTTCGCCTGTGCGGACATTTCAAGGATGAGGTTGCCTCGGCTCTTATCACCAACTTTGCACGAGCAGCAGGGTACGTGCCCGTTCCCTTTGGCGAACGATGCTAAAGAATTCCGCTGAAGAGCCTCTGAACATCCAGCTTGCTTCAAAAATGCTGGGATCAGAGATCAAAACTTGTCCGTCTGTAGGCATCGCAACACTTTATACACCCGATTACGTCGAGGTTGTGATTTTCACAAATCAAATGCTGTTCACCCCGTAGCGGCGGAGCTGCTACACACCGGCGTTTCGGTCAAAACTTTAAGCCGTACGAACGCTTCTGACCGATCAGATCATCACTTCTCAATCGTACTGACTGCGCCAATAGCAGTAATAAGCAAATAGATCCGCACCTTCCGAAACACCTATCTTCGGCAGGGTATGCTGAAAAAGGCCGACACGTTTTGCGCTCAATTCGTGCTCTAGGGATGAAGACATGTCACCACACCTATTTCACAACTGTACTTGCCAGCTTCAGCGGAGCAGCCGCCAAACTGAGATGGCTGAAATGCTTGACTTAGCAATCAAAAACGAAGAACGACGAAAATGTAGAGATGAACGCTTACCATGTTCTTGCTGTCAACCATCTGCTAGTTTTCATGACCTTGCTGGTACATCTACTATTTAAGTCTTGAACATGGAACAAGTCCAGGCCTGCTCACCAGTGAAAAGTATCATCGGGCGATGTTACTTTTTTCTCGAAAAGACAAAGTAGAAGGTTTGCTAAGTGATAAGCGGCAATAGAGGGATCCTCCTGAAATGGGACCTCGTAATTTCATGGTTTTCTATAAATAGGACATACCTCCATTTCTCCAAGCACTGATTTAGCCTGATGATCGTGCTGCCCTAATATTCGTTTCGACATGGGAGTTGACCACCCCTTGCTTGTTGAGCAGTTGCCGGCGAAAGGCGAACCCATTGCAAAAGGCCCTCGAACTTGGCGATTATGGAGGCTCGCCGATTCCCTCGAAAGGAGTTGTCGTGCAGCTACATAATAACGTGCGGTATGCATTCGCTAAGTTACGCCATCATGTCGTGTCGCTTAGGAGATCTATGCGCTTCCGCTTTACTCAAACACAAGGTATTTAAGTAAAAACGGTGCGTCTTCTTCAACAGAGCGCTTCCCATCCGCTTGGCTCGTAAGATCGGGATCGAGGTATGACTTCAAAGCCTATGCAAAAAGTAAAATTCGCCTAAATCTCTGCGGATGATTGTGTGTTTAGCTCTATATTCATTAAGGGCAACGACCGTAAACGATCCGAAGTAGCGTGGCCGTCATTTTGTCACAATAGGCTACATCATTGTATGAGAAGTGAGGCAAATCCAATTAGTAAAGTCTTTTACCCACACCAGAAAATGTATTCAGACGCTGTTCACGTTGTCACTGCTGCGATGTCATGTATGTCTGAGTACTTGAGGTTGTGCGTGGCGTGTTCAAACCACCTAGATAATTCATGTTGACGCGGCGGCGACGGCAAATGCATCCAGACGTTCGTCACGATGTCAGAAGCTGCGATATCATGTCACCAGTTTTTTGAATCGCTTGCAGAGGTGCTACAGCGTATTTGAATTACCTAGACGTATCTTTTTTAAGCGGCACCAACGGCAAACGGCAAATGCATTTAGACCTTGTTCACGTC